GCTACTGCTACTGCTACTGCTACTGCTACTGCTACTGCTACTGCTACTGCTACTGCTACTGCCACTACTACTAGTACTAGTACTAGTACTAGTACTACTACTACTACGACGACGACTACTAATACTACTACAAGAAGTAGTCGTGGTCGTTGTCGGCAGCGGCAGCAGACGCAGAAATGCTCGCCACGAAGGACAGTGAGGAAGCTGAAGCAGAGGTGTCTGATGCAAGCCACGTGGCTGCATTCAAACAGATGGGCTGGACTCGTTTTAAGGAGGGAATATTGGCTTCCACTGCCTTTGGGGCGTCTGAGCTTCTCGTGGCGCTATGACGTCAACCCCAACATGCACAGGGTGCAGAGGCAAGAAAATGCACGAGACTATGGCGGGACTGCAGCAGGAACAGAAGTAATACCCCAACCGGGCTTCGGAAACAGCCCGACAGGCCGAAAAGTGTTGGCCAGGGTCGCTTGAAAATTTTTCAATATGGGTCCATTCTGAAGTACCCTCGCGCAAGCCCTAGATGTGTAGCAAACCTCGGCTTTACCCCTAAACCCTAAACCCTAAACCCCAACCGCTAAACCTACAGGCAAGGCGCGTGCCTTGTTCGTCGTGCTGCGTCAGCTGGTTTCTAACACGGCCTGGGCAGTGGAGAGGCACAGCTTACGGCTTCAGGGGTTTGGGGTTTAGGGTTTAGGCTTTACGGTTTGGGGTTTAGGGTTTAGGGGGCTTCGGTTGATGGCATTTATGGCTTTGGGATAGGCGTTAGGGAAAAGGGCATAGGGGTTTCGGATGTTCAAGTTCTTTGTTTTTTTTCGGGTTCTTATTGCCATGCTTACTATCTGCTGTGCTGTTCATGGACAGGTTGGGCCTAGTGGTTTCGCTTGTGGGCCTGTGGCAGCTCGTGATCGATATCAACCGTCGAACTTGTGACATGTATTTCATTTCGAAGGGAGCCGCGAGACTCTGCTCCCCCACGAAAGCAGGAGAACCCTAGACCCCCCGACAGGGGTGTAAGGATTTAGGGTTTGGGGTTTAGGATTTTCAGTGTGTTTTTGCGCTTGGGGTTGCGGTTTACGAGGAGGGGCGTCTTCTCTTTGTTTTCGGGTGTTGGGATTTGAACCATCATTTCGAGGCGCATGGCCTTAGACCCCCGAGTCCAAAGCCATACACCCTGCGCTGCTTGGAAGGTAGGCTGGGTTTGCAAGGCTTTTAGCAGGTTTTTGGACGAATATAATGCTTTTGACGGCTTGATGGGGGTTTAGTGCCTGCTTTATGGATCAGGGGACATAGCAAGTGGGTGATACAAGGAGGGTAATACTTTCGACAACTTCATTTAGGGTTCTTGCCGCCTTATCCCTGGTCCTCTAAGTAGCACTGCTCCACCAACCTTGAGCACCCTGTTACCAAACCCGGGTAGAGACCTCCAGAGAAAAGGTATACGCTCTTTGCCCTATGCAGGTCACTTATTTTTTCTCTTTCTCTCTGTATTTCTCGCTTCTTGTCTCTCTTTCTTTGTTCTCCAGCTTTTTGTCTGCAGGTATACATTCGGTACGTGTCATATCATAAACAATACACATATATACATTATGCAAAACATATTGCTATAACTGCCTAATACCTAGACCTACACCGATACCTATACCCACGCATGTACATAACATGAGATATATGTACATGTACATGTACATAGGCAAAAGTAAGTAACAAATGATCAACACATGGCTGCAGGACTAAACCCCGATACTATCGCAAAGTACGCATACATTCATATTCATGCATGTCCCCGGCCACGCGTGGAGGTCGGCGATCAGAGCCGAGGCAGGTGAGGGAGAGTGGAAGCAGCGCACGCCGGACCTGGAGACACCAGACTACGAGGCCACCCGGAGTTTTTTTTTTAATCAAGGGTTTATGGGTACTTTGCGGTTTTCATGCCCTAAACCCTAAATCCCTAAACCCCTAGGTCCTAGGAAGACGTGCTTCTACGTGGGTCTCCTGAAGGTCGCCTCATTCCCTCAAGCAGCTCAACTGGTATCTATAACACGAAAGAGCTAAACTATATTTTATAACGAATACTTCCAAATACCTCTGTAAGAGGGTCACGAGGATCAAGGGTTCCGAGTTATCGGATGAGTTCGATTCTTAGGTACAGTCTTCGAGGGCGGTCTTTAAGGAATGTACTCCAAGACCTCCTCGCAATCTGTCAGGAGTCGCAATAGTACCTCTTGAAAGTTTTGTCAATAGAAGCTTTGGCCAAGTGGATCTGAGTCTAACGATATCTACGGCTGACAATCCTGCCATTTAGAGTGTGCATTTACGGAATCCTGATTTCGGGAGCTCCCACATTCAGGGTTGCGGGATGCATCCTAGAAGCCCTGCCTGCTGGAAGCGCTTTCCGAGAGCTTTTCGCATGTAGGCTCAGGAGACGTCGAAGATCGGGATTTGGGATTGATGTTAGGTTTAGGGTTTAGGGTGTAGGTTTTAGGGTTTCAAGTTGAAGGTTTTAGGATCGCCCGGGAGCCCGGCCAATGTACTCGAACTTAGGGTCATCATCTAGTTAAAGCATTTGAAAACTCTTACAGAACCCCGAAAGAACCTCAAAAAGCGCCCTCGCAGAGCGGGGTTGAAGGTAGCCACAGAAACACGTATATATTCCCTAAACCCTAAACCCTAAACCCTAAACCGAGATTATATATATATATATATAGAGCCACTGAAAGGACCTCTTAGGTTCAAGTATACTTGGAGGATCATGGGACTTAGTAAGTAAGGTTATAAGTACCCTAATTGGGGTTATAAGTAATTATAAGTCTAGTTACCGTACTTATAACCCTAGTTACTAAGTCCCATGAACCTCTAAGTAGAGTCCCTACCGCAAGTGAGCGCCTCCTGCCGGGGGAAGGTGCTTTACCGCGATGCTCTGAACGGCTACGAGGTTGGAACACGCCTTCAAGAGTCTTCCGTTGGGGGGTTTAGGGTTTAGGGTTTAGGGTTTAGGGATTAAGGTTTAGAGGGTACCGTTGGCCTGTTGGGTCCTACAAGGGCTTTTCTAAGAGTTTGTCACAGAGTTCTGTAGCGATTCAGAGCAGAAATGCTGAGCCCTAGGCGCTATTAATGCCTCCACCAGGCTTTGGGCGTAGGCATCGGGGCCAGCAGCAACAGCAGCTCTGAGAATCCGAAGAGGACCGCGTGCAGGATCCTGCAGCGCAAGGAAGGACCAACCCAAAATCTTGACGCCCCATGTCCCTTAAGGGCCTTATCATGAACCTCAGAGATTCCTTGTAGTACCCCTAAAGATTTGCGAGAGGTCCGGGAGTATGCACCCTATGCCGTGGTACGGACTGCGGGTCAAGGCTTGGTGTTAAGAGCTGCAGCTGACTGCGTTTCGTTTAGGGCTTGGTGCTCTGAGATTCGGGCCAGTTTAAGGTTTCAGGGTGTTTAGGGCTTCCTGGGTTGTTCGGGCTTTGAGGGTTTTAGGGTTTCAGAGTTGAGGGTTTTCAGTGCTTTGCATGCCCCCTGCCACCCCCGACTGATAATCCCTGAATGAGTGTGTTCTCATTGATCACGGCAAAGCTGGTGATGATGGTCATCAACGGTGATGATGATGGTTTCACGTAGCTTTTGGGAAGAGTGTGAGATAATGCCGACGGTGAAGATGATGGTGTTGGCGACGATTAGGACGATGAAGGTGACGATGATACTGACAGGGATGCTTATGCGGACGTTGTGGCTGTTGCCAACTGTGATAAAGGCACCAATAACAGCAGTGATGGTGATGATGATGATGATGACGATGCCCACGGCGACGATGTGCCGATGCTGTTGCTGCCGTGAAAATGGTGGTGGGGACGATGGTAATACCATGATTGCAGCAGAGGCAATGACGACGAATTCAAAATGCCAGTCCCATGGAGAAAGTTCAAGACTCTTGATCCTAGCACTAGGGGTTCCCACAGCTTCCTTGCCGAAGGTGGCGAAGCGGCCAACAATCGCTCCTTCTTCATGCTGGCAGACTACATCTTCGGCAAGAAGAACGAGAGGCAGCATGATTGAAGATATTTGGGCCAGGGGAACGGCACTGTTTTATGAAACACTGTTCAACGTGTGCTGTTGAGGTTGCTGCGGGCACAATGAATTTTTTGCTGTCAAAAGGAAGCTACCAATTACATATACTCCGTCCTTGCTATTGAGATCAGAGGCGTGGGTGCACTCTTACAGAACCATTGTATGTAGAACCCTTGTAGAATCCTTTTCGGATCCCTTTAAAGACACATCAAACAAAATAGCCACATGCCATCGACTGTTGGGGCTTGCAAGGTTGAGGATGTCTCGGGAAATTCGGTCTTGACGGATACGAGTATTGGCCATGTTCATTATGAGTTGCATTTGAGTTGTAATACAGCGTTTAGGGTTGAAGGCTCAATATCCGAAAATGGTAGCATGAAAGGATCAGCAGATTGCATAGCAGTAATATGAGTCACATATGTCATGTGTCATATGCCATTCGGATGCTAGCAGGTGCCGAGGACTAAAACGGCTCCGGCACAAGGAAGAGCAGTAGTACTAAGAGAAGTAGTATTACCTGTAGCAGCAAGAGAATTAGAAACATTGCCTCAGCATTGCCAATGATGACGGTGATGGTGATTGCGATTGTGACGGGAATGTTGATGCGGATGATTGCCACCGATGATCTTCGGTTCGCTTGTTTTGCAATTGCTATCACATCATGGGTGCTATTTGGGTTTCCTCTGCTGCTTCAGCTGCTCCTGCTCTGGCTGATGGTCCTGAGTGTGGTCCAGCCTCAGCCGCCTCCTACTGCCCGAACAGCCACGATCACTGCTGCGCCTTTTTCCTGTTCTCGTCTTCTCACACCCTAAACCCTAAACCCCAAACCCCAAACCCTAAACCCTAAACCCTAAACCCTAAACCCTAAACCCTAAACCCTAAACCCTAATCAACAGCCCGAAAATGCCTGGCAGGAACGAGAAGATGGCCATGACCACTCCAGTTCAAATGGACAAGAGCACAGGGACAATGTCGCACTTGGGACCTAAAGGGTTTAGGGTTTAGGGTTTAAGGTCTAGGGTCTAGGGTTTAGAGTCTAAACTCCAGTGCCTGTAATCGCGGATTTTGGACCAGTGGTCGGCTTTCCGGTGGTTTCAAAAGAGTTGCTAAGCCTCTCGTGCTGTCAAACAGGATTGGGGGCTAGTAGATCTAGGGTAATTTGCGGGTGCACGGTGCAGAATGCAGCACTTGCTTTGTTCCATCTGTTCCTGTCCAGTGGTGTTGCCACACGTCCTGTCCTCATTAAAAAATATGGGAGTTTCCGAAAATTAGGGACACCTTGTTTTGGGGTCCTCATAATAAGGACGATCCTGCTCTTTAGGGTGCTATATGAGGGTCCTTATTCTCGGAACCGACCCTCCCATATTCCTACTCAAGGAAATCAAGGAGCAGCTCGGGGCTCTCTGGGCATTGACAATAGGGTTTAGGGTTTAGGTTTTCGGTTAGCCTTAATGCAACCGTGTGAAGCCCTACGAAACCCCTCGAAAATATGCCTAGGATCCCTTCCAAAGCCCTGCCTAACCACATAAACGCCCTAAAAATAAAACCCTATGGCAAAAGCACAAACAGCCACCCTAGGACCCTAAACCCTGCAAGCCCTACAAGC